TACAGTGGAGAGTAAGACAATCATGCCTTCTACTCAGATATATATTTCTGAGAATTGCACTGTATAGAGGAAGAAAGAGAGGTTTCTATGGTTACATGATCCCTGAAAAGTGATTTTATTTTCAACAGAGTAGGGTAACAGTGCATTGAATTGAGGAATCTCACACACAAACCTACACATTAGGGGTAGAACAGGCTGATATGAAGACAACTAGATAAAAGCAAAAGATATTTAGATAGTACAAGGGCTGATCAAAACCCAGTGTATGCTTGAATAAAAAAATTACAGTAAAAAATACATTGCCATTAATCTCAGAGTACTCCCTCTTGCTTTGAACACACTAATTCAGTTGTTCTTTTCACTTTCTGAAGCTGTTTCTGAAAGTCCCCTTTCATGAATATCTTTATGAGACATAAAAAATCGGTGAATGCTGCTGCCAGGTGCCATCCAACAAAAAGGCAGGCTTGTAAAAAAAAATATTACCATATGCTCTCATCTACCTTATTCACTGGATCTGGCACCAACTGGATTCTGGCTCTTTCCCGAAGTCAAAAAATGACTATGAAAGATCCACATTTTGAATCAACGTAGGACATTATGGCACCGATAATAGATTAAAAACACTCACGAAGAAAACTTTCAGAACCACTTCAAAAAGTGGCAAGAATGATGAGTATGTTTGAAGGGAAAGGGTGTATTTTGTTGGAGGTTAATGGCAATGTGTTTTTGACTGTATGTTTTACTTTTAAATTTAAACATTCATTGCATTTTTGAGCACCCTTGTAAATGTGGTCCTATCTATCCTTGGACAAGTATTTTCTCCTGACTGGTCTTCAATTTCTTATTTCTAAATTAACACTAACACTAGATTCTTTAAGGCCTTTTCTGATATCTTACAGTAGATATTAAATGATTAGAATAGAAAGTTTCAGTACTCACTATTGATTGCAAAGCTGTTATTCCAAAGGTTGAATCTCAGTTTATCTAGATATTGTAAGGGCTGAGACTAAAACAGGGGCATCAGGCTACTATTTGTCCCCTTGCACAAGACTGATCAAATTTTATATTCAGTTTCTTATCATTGCACCTTAACCTTACCTCAATAGATTAATATCCTGATGAAAGAAACAAGATAAATAGAAATAAAACAATAAAAAGAGAATGCAATATTTAGGCAAACTCTGGATACCTTAAAAGGGCAACATCATTTCTCTTCCCATGACATTTCTTACTATGGGTTTAGAAACAACATAAAGGGCGAGTATAGTCTTGGCTCTGTGTTCTGACTCAATATTGTCAATTCCTGGAAAAGGAAGTAATATATAGGCTGGGGAGTTGGAAATGAACACAGCACTTACAAGGCAGGAGACAGCGGAAGCTTGAGGCAAGAATCTTAAGGGCAGCTGCAGAAAGCAGGAAAAAAGTCATTCCTAATAGCTTGGGTTGGAAAAGAAGGTAATTCCATATTTCACATGAATATGAAAATAAGACCTTTGGTTTTTTCACTCTTCCTATAAAAGTGGCTAATGTGGGGAGTCTGACCAGGCATGAGTTTAGATGCAACAGGTTGGGATTTTCAGTGCCCAGAGAGAAGGAAAATGATTAAGTCAGCCCAGGAAACCGGGAAAGAAGCCAACCCAAGTTAATGGTATAACCAGTTTTTTTGGTAGGTTTTTAAATTTTAAGGCAAAACAATAGGAAATAAGGAGGAAACAGAAAGAAAAGCATGGGCTCAAAGGAATGGTCTTTAGGATTTATAAAACCCAAAGTGCAAAATTATAGCCCCCTTCTCTCATTCAGTGATGCCCACCTCCCAAGCATCTATGCAGGTAACCAGTGGGTCAGGACATACTTCTATTCCACCATGGAATCACAGGAAATGCTATGAAACTGAACAGAAAACATTGTTTTCTATTGTACCTTTCATTAAGTTACTGTAATCTCCTTGACATGATATTTGTAAAAGTATCTTTAAGTTCTCAATGAGTCTTATTTTCTCATCATCTCATTTCTTTATTTTGATTTGTGCCACTGCCTGCAAGATGACCTATTTGTACTTGAAGAGAAGAAATTGTGAACAAATTCAGAGCTTTATTTAAGATAATCTAAAATAAATGAAATAATTTTATCTACTTTGTAATAAATTTGTTTAAATGAGGTCTGGTAAGGGAAATGTGTATATCACCTGTTTGATGCTCTGAATGGCTTATAGCTGTAAAGTCTTTCCATTTGTTCATTTGAAGTATTAAATATCAGCCTTCACTTATATTTTGGATTCTTGATTAGACCAATACATAAAATCTTACCAAAACAGATTCAAACTTAAAGAAAATCATAGTTTTTCTCTCCTTAATTGAGAATATTCAGAGAAGCAAGATGCTTATTCACATACTTTGAAATTATCACCTGAAGCAGTAACTGTTAAGCTGTCTTGTCAAGTGCTGCTTGACTTGCATTTTTAATAATGTTTGTGCTACCTTGGACTTCCTGCACACACAGACTGTGAATTGCTTATAATCTGGGAGGATTCCACTATTCTGGTTGCTTTCGTTTGCTAGCAGGATCCTACTGGAATATATGAGGCAGAACTAGGCCTTCTCTAAGTGATTAAAAACAAATGATTTAAAATCCATTGGTGCTTTGTTTTGGATTACTATTATAAAATAAAATAAATATTTAAGCAGAAATAATGTAGCTTTTTGATTTCCTTTTTTTAAGAGAAGAGCTTTAATGCCGTTTTTCCATTTACTAATTCAAATAATGTATATTTAATCTTGAGACGATATTGATAATTTTACCATATTTGTTCAGTTGAGGTGTTCTTTTGCATGAAATATTAATTAAGACATTTGGGAACCATTTATAATAGAAAGATTGGTACTTAAATCACTTTGAGAAGAAAATGTAAGTAGCTTAATGATAGAATGATAAAATAGAAAGCTGGTTTAGGAAATCAGAGGCTCAGTAGAGTTTATACATATTTTTGAGAGGAGACCAAAATGAGATTAAATGAAAGAACTAAGCCTTCTCATGACACCATAATGCAAAAGTTGTTAGGCAAGATGAAATCTTGATGTCTCTGTCTTGTGAATCCAAGGAGCTCAGCAGTTTTGCCTCATTCGCACCTTTTACTTATGCCTGTGATGGCAGCTGGAATTGTAAGAGGGGCCATATGAGGTCTAAGATTTATTTGCTTCTCTTGTGCCTCTACATTTTCCATGTTTTTGCCAGTTGAACAAAATGAATAAGTAATTCTGTATTTAATGTCTAAAGAAACGAACTTCTGTGGACTTTATTTATAATGCTGAATTTCTGAAATCCCGCATTCTGAATTTATTGAAAGTCAGCAAATAGGTCTTTGTGTTTCAGGGACACATGAAGGATTAAAAATTTGTATACATAGTTTCTATACAGGTTTAATAAATTTCTTCAGTTACAATGACCTTTGTATAAGGAATAAAAATTTCGATTCAATATATTTCAAGAAGTGGTCACGGTACATTTAGATTCTTAAAACTGGAGTATTTTATCAGGAAAGAAATAGGTTTTTATTTATTTTTTGACCAAGATGATCTTGCAAGCTATGTAAACCATACTTAATTACTTTTATATCCTGTATGTTTTCAGATGTATGAAGGTAACTGAAAAGAAAACAATGCATTTATGAGAAGGAATGAATTTTTCCCAAAATAACAAGAAGACAGTATTCCAGAGAAGCCTGTCCACATTATAAATCGATTTTTATCTTTATTTTTTATTAATTATATTGGTACTTTTAAGGTATACAATATAACGACATTCATCATTGGAAATTTGCAACTTTACATAATCCATCTTGGTTCTTATTTTTCCCCCATTCCCCTGCCCTCCCTTCAACCCCTCCACCCCTCCCTATCTACAAAGACTTTGTCTCCATTTTTTTCTTTTTCTCATATTAATTCCATTCCCTTCTTTCTTTTCCCCTACCCCTCCCATTTCCCCTTCCCCTATCTATGAATGAATAGTTATCCAATTGTGAAAATGTTCTCAACAGATGGATTCAATGAAATAAAGATCTATTGTATTATTAATTTTAAGTTAATGGATTTTCTTTGATATTTTATTACAATAATATGCTATTTGTAACATGACAGAATTAAATTATGTTGTCATTTTTCTTGTCTACATTTGCAGTTCTCTTTCCTCATTTAAAAAAAAAATTATACTTTTTTCCCTTCAGACTTTGTCTGTGTTAGCCTTTCATTGCTATGGCCAATAACTGAGATAACCAAATTACAAAGAGCAAGGTCTGTTCTAGTTCACAGCTTTGAAGGTTTCCTTCTATGGATCTGTTAGTCTCACTGCTTTTAGGCCTGTGGGAGGCAGCACATCCTGATGGGAGAGCATGGACAAACCTGCTCACCTCGTGTCTGGAATGTAAAAGGGAACAAAAAATGGACTGAGACCCACAATCCCATTTGAGGGTAACCCTGGATACCCTACGGATCTACCTCTAGGCCATACTTCTTAGAGTTTCCACCACATTCCCATGGTTTGAAAGATGCAGACCAAACCTTTAACACATGAATCTTTGGGAATATTATCTGAACCATAGCCTCTATCTTACTTGTTGATATACTTATTTTTCTTGCAAATATACATTAGTTTTTCTTTTCTTTTATTTACTTTATCTGCATTTATTTTTCTTTATATTTTAATCCTTAGATGATTCCCCTGGTATATATAATTCGTATGTTCATCTTTGAGTTAATCTGAAGTTAATTAAGTCCTTCATTTATTTAATTTTAAAAAAGTGTAGTTCATGGTAGAATACAAGATTAATATGAACTCTTGGCTATAAAATGAAACAAATTTTTGTCAGTATCTTCTCATGATACTTTGTATAGTGCTCTTTATCTCAACACTATATTTTCAGGTTCTAGGCATTTTCACATCTGAATTAGTTCTCTTTTATGATTTTTGCTATTTAAATTTTTTTCTTTCTGTTTTATATTGTACAGTGGGAAGAGATTGGTGAAGTTGATGAAAATTATGCTCCTATCCACACGTACCAGGTCTGCAAGGTTATGGAACAGAATCAGAATAACTGGCTCTTAACCAGTTGGATCTCCAATGAAGGGGCTTCCAGAATCTTCATAGAACTCAAATTTACTCTGCGGGACTGTAACAGTCTTCCTGGAGGCCTGGGGACCTGCAAGGAAACTTTTAACATGTATTACTTTGAGTCAAATGATGAGAATGGGCGAAACATCAAGGAAAACCAGTACATCAAGATTGACACCATTGCGGCGGATGAGAGCTTTACAGAGCTTGACCTTGGTGACCGCGTCATGAAACTGAACACAGAGGTCAGAGATGTAGGGCCTCTGAGCAAGAAAGGCTTTTATCTTGCTTTCCAAGATGTCGGGGCATGCATTGCTCTGGTGTCTGTGCGTGTGTACTATAAAAAATGCCCTTCCGTAGTGCGACACTTGGCGGTCTTCCCTGACACCATCACTGGAGCAGACTCTTCCCAGCTGCTGGAGGTGTCAGGTGCCTGCGTCAATCACTCCGTGACAGAAGAGCCGCCCAGGATGCACTGCAGTGCCGAAGGGGAGTGGCTGGTGCCCATTGGGAAGTGCGTGTGCCAAGCAGGGTACGAAGAGAAAAACGGCACCTGTCAAGGTGAGGCTTTGCTTGTGGGTCTGCCGGGGCTGGCCTCTTCCCATGGATCATGTATATGTATGTCCGCCAGTGATTATGAGCAAGTGACCTTTTACTTTGCTAATTTATGGAGATTATTTCTCTTCAAATTTGATTTCTCTCGTCTCTGAATTTTAAAATTTCTGGCAATGATGGAGATTTAATGTTATATTTTATTGGATATACATAATTAATACTCAGTGTCTGAATTGCAAAGTCATGTTTCACATTCATTTTGCTTTCAAAAGTTTTATTTTTGAACAACACAAACCAAGGGATTAGCAACTTTCAGTATGTGATTATTGTCTACTACTGCTGTTTGCTTTCTACTGTTGTCTTGCTGTACAAAATTTAAATGCAAATATCTTGAAAGAACTTGTTTTGGCATGCTTTTAATTCCTTTTAAAAATTCTCAAGAAATAAATTCAGCCATATGAATTTCTCAGTAAAACGGTTGTAAACTGATAGGACTGAGTTTACTATGTTGTTTACATATGGTTACTATTACATGGTTGCTTTTTAAAAGTTACAAATTAATTTTAAATGTGTAATAAACCATGCCCCATGAAGATAAGTGTTTGAAGATAGGGCCAATACAAAAAGGTCATTTCAAAGCAATTTGCACTTGTAGACTTTTTTTCTGTTTTAATTTTTCTTTTAAATTGAAACTTGATCATGCATGCTTTCCTGTTCATTTGAAAATGCTCTCATTTTGCCTACAGTGTGGTGAGTTGCCCTTTTAGACTTGGATATTTATCAGTAGATTCCTGGAGCAGGATAGTACTTTATGTCAAAGTGAAGAACAGCTTATGGGGAAGAAAACACATTTTTTCCTTTAAAATTATTTGTCCTTATGAACTTGAACTTGTTTTCAACATGATGTGTGAATACTAACTAGGGAATGGGAATTTATGTATATTAACTAAGGGGAAACCAGATACTGAGCAATCCTTACTCTCACCTGGAAGCTTCAGGTGCATTTTGATTTCTTCTTCCACTCTATTATGTTTATCACACTTGGTGGTTTTCTCAGGGTGGACAGTAGATTAGTTATGGATTCAGGGAAACAGAAATGGGGAATTATAAGTCATAATGACTTTGTTTTATTTATTCTCTCCAGAAACATTTCATGTACCTAAATTTCCTTTGCAGTGTCAGCTCCTATTTTGTTTTTTACAGTAGTATCTACTCTTTTTCCACCTAAAATACAACTCTTCTTGTTTGATTTATCCATATACATACCCTTAAATATCTTACCAATTTAAAATTATGTTTCTTAAATTTATATAACTTTCTTGGGGAAATGAATAATAATTTTATCAGGATTGGATTACAGAAAAGTTGTAACATCTTAATTTTTTTAGAGCAGTTTTACTAGTTTAAGATGAGGTCATACCAAATTACAGAATCAGAAGCAGAAGTTAAAAATACTCTCAAACATATTTTAGTCTAAAATTGTAAATGTAAATGCTATTTCTAAAAATTTGTTTATTCATGCTGTAAGCAGCATACTCCACTTGACTGTTTACATCATTTTAGGGAATATGTTGTGGCTTCAGTTCAGATCATATATCCTTGGTTTTCATTTGGATGGACAGACAGTAAAAGAGGCCTCTGTATTTTTAGAGGATAAATTTTGATCACTGAGGGAATTAAAACGTTGTAGTGGTACATACAAAAACATCTTGAAGGACAGGTGTTCATGAGAGAATGCTTTTTAGTGGAAACCTTTCACATGCATTTTCTCTTCCTTCTTTCTCTCATCCTTTAAGAGTAGTTGAGAAAAAGTCTGGAAGAAAGTGGGATGAACTGGAAAGGCTGAAATGTAGAAAAGTTTTCTAAAATAGATGTTGTCCTAAGTTAGGAATTTTTCACTTCCTCCTGGTAGTAGGAATAGTGGCTTTGGGACCACGCATCTGGAGACCACATAGGCCAGTGAATGTTCTACACAGCACAGTCTATGTGAATAATGTCTCTCAGTGCTTTACAGTATACAGATGGTATGGGGCCACTCTAGGAAGATTTTCCAATTGGTATTCAATAAATAATTTATCTCCTTGAATGGCTAACTCATCGAATAAACAAATGTTATAGGTTTGCTTTGGAAGAATTGAAAAAAATTATATATGCTTGGGGAATTTATCTATCTATACATAATATGTACATGTATATGTAAATGTATATGTGTGTGGGGTATGAGTTATATAAAATGAAGCCCTGATTCTAAGTCATTCTAAGATCTTCAGATGCTAACCTCAAACTTTAAAGTAGGAGGTTGGGGTTTTGGAATTATCTTTGATAGGAAAGACATCCAGAAATCATTCTGATACTTCCTTCCTACTTGATACCCCATCGCAGTCTATCATGAAGTGTTGATAGAAATTATTACCCAACTATCTCTTCACACCATTCACTTCTATTTCCTTTTTCCTCCAACCTAAAAGCATATCTTGTAGGAATTCTATTTTCAAATAAAATGAATAACTTTATATATAGCTTTGCTTTTTGAACTGTATGAATATATCACCCACACAGAAATGCAAATCTTGTTCCCCATACCATCATCTCTTTCCCACACTTTATACACCTCAGTGAAATCCTTCATGACAAAGATTTCATAACACTCTAAGACTGCATGTTTTGTCCTGGTTCTCTCTCCAGATTCACCTGGAGATGTGCTTCCTCCTTTCCCATATACACCAGTGGAACTAGCTTTTTTCAGTTTCTCAAAAGCCATTTGCTCTCTTTACTGCGTGTTCTTTTATGATTCTGTTCTTGTTCTTGGGAACCTTTTTCCTTGTTAATTCATGGCCATCCTTCAGATCTGGGCTCCAAAGATAGCTTCTTAAGGAACTCTATTGCTGACTTTTCAAGATGAGATCAAGCTTCACTGTTCTTTACTCATAGATCTTCTCTGTAGAGAACCATTTAGAGTTATGATATTGTACCCATTTGTTGATTTATTATTTGATTAATCCTTTGCCCAAATCCCATTACACTATATTCTCTAATGGCAGGGGTGAAGTATGTGGAGTTAAGGAATCAGTAAGAAACCAAAAGGAAGGAGGATGGGAAATTAAATAAAAAATATGCAAAAGCATTAAAGAATACTCTTTTTTTTTTTTGGTACGGGGAATCGAACTCAGGTCCTTGTGCTTGTGCAGCAGGTGGTGAAACCACTGAGCTAAATCCCCGGCCCAAGAATACTCTTTTAAAGTACTGTTTTGTTGATTTATTTTTCTTTTCTCTTTACCTGTAGAAAATTTCTTTGCTCTGTCTGAAAATTTACAAATATCTTTAAATTGATCCTTCCCTAGTCCTCAGGCTCTCAGGTCAAATTCTCAGGTTCCAAGTATGAAATCACATGGATTGGAGTTTCATATATTAGCTATTATAAACACAATCAGTGAATTTTGCAGAGCCCCAAACATCATGTATGGAAATATATTTATAATTTTGCCTTATTACATAATGACATTTAATCACCCATTTAATCACAATTTCAAATTATGTTAAGATTTAATTAAGGATGTAATTATATTAAAAAGCTGAAATTTGAATATATCTGTTATAATGACTGCCATATATTACTATTTCCTGAGTCTGTGGTGGGAGATGGCCTGGTTGCTATGGTCAGATCATGTCCATGTGACCATTACACCTTCAGGGATGATGGAGGTGACCTAGGACCTTCAGAGACTAAACCTTCACTTCAAGGTGCAGAATCCAGGGCAGCTCATTAACTGTCTGACCTCAAGGCAGGATACAACCTGGCTACAGTTCAGTAGTTCTGGAGAACTTAGAAATTCATGACCAGTCACTTTCACACAACTTCCTCTCATTTAACTTCTATGAAGAGAAATAAACTACCTTCCCTGTCATAATCTGACTTTGATGTGGTAGTAACATATCCTGGTTTCTAGTTATCAATTTAAAATACAGTGTAGATTAATTTTTGCAAGTTTTCCTTATACAGCTAAATTTTCAATAATAAGTTACCTTAAGTACACAAAGTTATTTCTTTGAAATATTTTTATTTTTTAGAAACAAATAAGGTTCCCCATCCATTTATCTAAGTGTGTTTCTGTATTTATTATTTAGTATTATTTGTGATTAAATACATGTTATTTTTTCCCCTTAAAAGTCATGTGCAATATTTTTTGAGTACAAAATGGTTAGCAAAAACCCATTTTGGAACTTTCTGCTTTTCATTGAAGTGAATGTGTTTGACGGAAGTAATTGAGTTCACGTGAATCAAATGTTGCCTGCTGAGTCCTCTTGTGATTATGTTGCTGACTTACTCAGATGCAAGGCAAGACCACTAATCTTCATCAGTTGCTACTGGAATGAAGTAGTAATTTGAAATTAGCCCTTAGATAATTATAGTTTCACTTATATCAAATGGAGGAAAGAGATTTAGATTGTGGGTCACTGCCAAAACCAGTCAGAGTGAAGAAGGTATATAGTGCATGTTAAAATACAGGGTAAAGAAGGTTACACATCAATGGCTGTGGAGAAAAAGCACTTATTAATTGTCCAACTGGGAAATGATTGCACAGCAAGGAAAATGTGGTGAAAATACCCAATTCAAGAACGAACTTTGATTCAGAAACAGAACAGAAATAGCGGGGAGTAGTGTGTTGATCATTCATATTTCTGGTGCATATTTATGACTGAAACAAAATTGGTGGGAAATAATATATCAGGTGTTCATGTAATTATTCGTTGGAGAGCCTAGTTATTTTTAATTAGGCATATTACCAAAAAGTAATAGGGGTTGAACATTTGGTTCCATTTGTTATGTTATTTTATGCAACAAAAGGAGACCGATTTTAATTTCAAAATTTGAGCAACGGTTGGTGAGTATGGAAGTATAGAGAATCAGCAGTTTGTCTGGAGAGGGAGAGGGAGACTTTCTGCTGAGGGTAACCACCAGCACACAGAAGTAGTTAAGTCCATCCATATGCATGTATACACATGAG